CAGGGGGGCGGGGTTCTCTTGGCAGTTCCTCCAACCTCAGAAGCTTGGTGGGGGGGAATGTTGGCCCAAGAGAGGGCATTCTCTGTGGCAGCCCCTAAATTGTGGAATTCTCTTCTCACAGAAGTATGCCTGCCTGGTACCTTCCACATACAGCTTACAGTACAGTGAATATGAACTTCTTTACCCTGACGTTTGACACCTGAAGTGTATATTTTCAGGACCAACCCTATTTTTGAGATTGCAAGTTCTTTTAAACTGTTTTTAATATTGTGTTGTAACCTGCTCTGGGCCCTTAGGGTGCAGGGCAGGTAATTATGGTAATTAATTAATTAATTAATTAATAATATGTTTCAATCTGACAGAAGTGCAAATACAGTCCAAAAAAAAGAAAATGCACAACATAATTCTATTAACGCACAAGCAATCAGAATTCAGTATCCTGAGACTATGTTTTTTAAAGTTTCTAGACCTCATGGATATGCAGATAGGCTTGAAACTTTATGGTCATTCCTTTATCTCAAAAGCCAGATCAACTGGATTTACTTCTGAGAAAGTATGGTTTGGATGAGGCTGCAAGAAATGGAAGAGTTTGGATTTGGATTTGATATCCCGCCTTTCACTCCCTTTAAGGAGTCTCAAAGCGGCTAACATTCTCCTTTCCCTTCCTCCCCCACAACAAACACTCTGTGAGGTGAGTGGGGCTGAGAGACTTCAAAGAAGTGTGACTGGCCCAAGGTCACCCAGCAGCTGCATGTGGAGGAGCGGAGACGCGAACCCGGATCCCCAGATTACGAGACTACCGCTCTTAACCACTACACCACACTGGAAAGTCCGTAAAAGTATCCACCGACACCCTTAATGTGACTCTATGACTTACAGGCAATGCTAAACATCAATGTTGCATCTGCAGCGGACAGAAGAAATCTGAATGGGAACAACCAGCTGGATTTTTGCAGGTAGCTCCACTCACAAAGTAGAGAAAACAAGAGAACAAAGACTGCACAAACACCATATATTTAAAGTACATTACCCCTCAAATAATCCTGAGAACTGTAGTTTATTCAAGGTTCTGGAACTGTAAATTTGTAAGAAGTAAGCTACAGCTCCCAGGATCCACTGGGGGTGAAAAGGTGCTTTAAATGTGCTTTAAATGTCTGGCATGTACCTGTGTGAAATAAAGAAAACAATTCCAGATAACAATTTTTCATGCTGCTTGCTAATTTACATCAGATAAGTTTTCAAGAGTGTCTCCTTCCTCACCTGAAACAGCTCACACAATCAGTGCACCACAAACAACTTATAGCAAATGCTGGCATACTAGCCTTTGGCACAATCTTTGCTCACAAGCACCATGGGCTACCAGTTGTGAAGTGGGTCAGAAGAGAGAGGGTGCTTCCAGATTGCTGCTGTTTTCGGGTGGGATTCAATCACATACAGTACCAGCAAATTCACAGTGTGCAATTCTAGGTGATGGGGAGTTGTTTCAGAACAAACCTGCTTCCCCTGCCCAGCCCTCTTGCAAAAATTAGACTGTTTGTGATAAGGAAAATCACAGGGAAATGCACTGGAAAGTGTGGGATAACACTGCTTGTAACCTCCTCATCTAACCTTCCCACAAACAAATCCAAATGAATGCCCATTAAATGGCAAGTGTGGTCTTATCTCGCTGCAAACAAAGCAGGATGAATAAACAGGTTGTTTGGTAGCACCCAGAGACAGAAACAGCACAAAGAAAAAAAGTTGTGTGTGTATTCCCTTCCTCCCTTTCCCCTCCCCACTACAACTCCCTCTCCCTTCCCCCAGCAGGGAAGCAGATGCTCTCCTAAATCCTAGCATTGAAGCTGGAGGGCAAGCAGGTGGGAAGCATATATCCAGGCCACTGATGGAAGACGGATTCATATTTCCATCCTCACACTATACTGACACCTGCTGGGACACAGGCAAGGTGTGTGTAGTACTCTCTTCTCCTGAGGTATCCAGCAACTGGTATTCAGAGGCATAGTACCTCCGACAGGGGAGGTAGAACAAAACCATCAGAATCAGTAGCCACCGATAGGCTTATCTTACAAACACACTTCTGCACATTTGAGAAGCTGCAAGAACACCCATGGTCTATGGTTCAAGCGGCTAAGAAGATGCAGGCTAGGTACCTAGTAGATCCCACATAGGACATAAACATGTCTCTCTACACCCCAAGAAGAAAACTAAAGCCTGAGCAAACTCCAAAACCTGGATAGGCTAACTAGCTGAGCATGTCAGTTGAGCTAATCAAGCAGATGCAGGATTTTTACTTATTTTTTCAAAATATGGACTTGAAGCCATCACGAAGAGGTGCCACAGAGTGCCCCAAACTGTAAAGCAGACAAAGCTTTGCTCTTTCCATTTTATGTTATGTAGGGGTGGAACACATGAGCAAAGCCTTTTCACACAGTCTATGTGTGGGCCGTTTCTTCAGGGTCCGAATCGACTTGGTACAGTCTGTATATCTCAAAGACTTTCTAAGAAGACTTTCCAACCGCAGCATCCCCTTCCCTGACACGAGCTTTTGTTTAAGACAGTGCACATCATCACCTTATGACACCATCAATGTTTAAAATGGAAGATGGGAACTGCTTCTTTTTCAGTATTCCCTGGTGGGTATCTTTCTGGGGGCTGCATGCCAATGATGGATGGGGCCAGAGGTGGACATACAGGTGTGACTCTTCCCTTTTTACCGTAACCTACAAACAGCAAGCCAGAGGCTTCCTGTGCATTCCCTCATGTGCACATCATCTCTATCCACACACAATGCAAATAAGAGGCATTATTTATTAATATAATTAGATTTATATCTAACATCCAAGGAGCTCAAGGTGGTGTACGTGGTTCTTTACCAGAGTTCAAGGACACACGAAGGAACTTGGGAAGAGTGTAGACCAGGGCCAGTGAGTAGGGGGCATGGTCTGGGTAGCATCCCAAGGGCCACATAGACCACATAGGGCCACTTCCATGCCTCCCCCTGCCCCCGTAGTTCACCAACCCCTGTTTTACAGCCACCCTCCATCACTATCCCTGCAACAGACTTTGACAAAATTCCTACACGGAAAAGCTTCTCTCTCTCTCTCTCACTTCTTGCCCTGACTCTAGCAGAACCTTACACTCAACACCTGGGTCCAGGCCTCTGTAGTGCAAGCAAGCAGATGCCAGGAGGAACCTGAGCAGGACCCAGGCAGGCAGAAAAGAAAAACGCACACAAAACACACTCTCTCCACCACCACCCCTTTTGAAATGCAAAGAGTGTTTGTCCTGCCTCGGTCTATTCAAGTCCCTTCTACACTTTGAGTCAGATAGATGCACACAAAGGCAGTGGCAATGAAGGGGGCTGGGGAGGGGGGGGCAAACACGCTCCAACCAGCCCTCGCTCCAAGCCCTAGCCTGTGCATTGTCCTCACACCAAACAAATGCGCCCATTAATCTCTGTCCCAGCGCTGGCACAGGGAAGGGGGGCTACCTTTCTCTCTCTCTCTCTCTCTCTCTCTCTCTGTGTGTGTGTGTGTGTGTGTGTGTTAATTGTCTCCTGAGCAGCCAATGACAGCCGGGGTGAGTCACAGAGCAGATGCTGAGCGCAAGAGTTCAAGAGAGAGAGGAGAAAAGGCTCCATGGAAATGTAGGCGATTTCTCTGCATGTCAAGATGGCTGTTAGGTCAACACGGAGGCTCTGTTTACTGAGCTGGGGGTATAGAAGCAGCTGTTCCTCCCATCCCTGAACATTTTTTTAAGGAGGCAGAAGCAGCAAAAACAGGGATTAGAGAGCGTCTGCAATGACTGGAAGCCAGCCGGGGATGGGGGGGGGCATCCATTAGTCATGCAATATCTGTGGCTGCAGGGTGAGAGCCTGTTTGGTCTGAGACAGCCCTTGCTAGTTTCTCCATAGAGAGGGCTGAGGCCTGCCTGGAGGTCATTCCTCTGGTTTGAGAACCCTTTCTCCCTAACTCCCAAATCTGAAATGGGGTGGTGTGGTTGCGAAAGCTGGTTGCAAGAGTAAAAGGATCATAGTGCCGGCAGCCAAAACAACAACTGGTTGCCTATATCTCTGTGTATGACAAAAATTGCAGATCCAAAGACGGATACATGTCACATCACATCATGGACTCACAAGTGATATAAACTGCCTCCCATTGAAAAATATTGCATCTGAGAGAATGAAAAGCAGAATTAAAAGCCTATCTAGGGTCTTTGATCTGTGATGGCTGTTTCATACATTCAAGTTGACTCTTGCTGAAGTCAGTCAATGGCAAATTGATGTGTGTGAATGCACTTAGTGCACTGAGTGCCCCTGATCCACAGAAAGTCTACCTTCTTAAAAGTAGACTTTCTTCTAGAAGCATTCAAATATCTTCTCCTGGCTTATTTAAAGAGGCAACTATCAATCCTATTGCCATTGTGTTGAATTTTATCCTCTATCATAAGAGCTTTAGGCTTGGTGTGTAACCTTGTGCCATGACCTCAAGATAGAAATCTGAGCAAATCATCTATCCTGAGTCTATGAGGCTAGAGAGAACTTGCAACCTACAATTGAAGTGCTTAGGATTCATCCAGGGATCCTGACAAGAGCCCCCCTTTCCTTGCTGTAAGGAACTTCAAAGTGCTTTCATCAAGCTTCTGCCTAAATGCAAGATCATTGACCCTTCAGGACCCCTTGCCACACAGAGGTGGTTTTTGCCATCCAGGTCATGGTGCATACGGGAAGTGCATGCACCACAGAAACGAGCCTTCGCAGATTATTCCTGGTGTGCCTAGGCCTTCCATGATCCCTTTGTAAAGAGTGCTTTGCTTAGCTTGCTAGTCTGCTGCATACCCCAGCCCAGGATCCAAGCCTCAGAGGTCATTTTCCCCCATTGAGAAAAGAAAGGCCAGTGGACACAGACGACCCCCTTTGCAAAGGCAGCCGCTCTGTTGACATGCCAAAGGGTTCCTATGGCAACAATGGAATGCGAGGGGCAGCTGGCTTGATGGAGTCTGGATAAACAAAGGTGGAAGGCAGCGGCAGGCGGGGGCGGGGAGTGATAGGGCTGCCCTTCCAACTGGCTGTGAGGGCAAAGGTCGGAGAGTCGAGCATGGCGTGACCCCAACTGAGACATCGTCCCCAAAAGGGCCTCGGCAATCAGGAAGGGCAGAATGCAGGGAAGGGGACAGAGGGGGAAAGTCTAGGGTCTCTCCCCCCACCCCACCGGCCACCCACTTCTTCCATGGTAGATAAAGATGTATAAGGCAAGAGACATTTCTGTACAACTAGCAAGACTAAAAAAGGGAAACTTTCAAGATCCTCTGATAGCACAAAACACATCTGAAAAAAACTTAGGATGTCTTCTCACTTTTATGTATTTTATTTTATTTTAATATATGACATCCATCTGCATGGAGCTTAGGGTACAAGGCCTCAAACACAGGAACATAAATAATATAACAGCACAAGAAAATCCCTGAAGCTGGATCAGGCCATTGGGGGTCCATTTAGTCCATTCTCACAGTGGTCAATCAGATGCCTTTGGAAAGTGTACAAGCAGAAACTATGTTCTTAAACATAGCCATTGTGGCCAGTAGCCAATTATAGTTTTATCTGCCATCAATTTATCTAAGGTGACTGGAAATAATGTGGGGTGCAGGGAGAGTATCATGGTGTGTAACACCCACAGCCAGGTCATAAAAAATACCCTGCACCATCTTCTCACACAAGTCTATATGGACCCCAGCTTTGCTTACTGGTCATTTCCCAGGACAACTAACTCCCCTTTCCACTGACCCCTTTCTCTGTTGCATGCTCAAACATTAACTCTCCTGTCATGAGTTCAAAACTAGCAGAAGAACAGCTGGCTAGATTTTTCTACTATCTATGCTGTGCTCTTGATCAGAAATCCCTGGTAAATTACACAGCATATTGAGGGCAGACCCCTTCCTTGAACAAGGCAGCAACCAGCCAGGGACTGGAAGGGAAAGAGCCTCTTTGCAAACCAAAGAATATGAGAAGAAGCATTTCTTCCTGGCACAGCCCCATGGGAGCCTGCCCACAACACCTCTGTCTCAGGTTCCTCCTGCCAGTGAGAGAGGGTCTCAGGCAGACCCGGAGCCAAGCAGAAAGCAGATGCCACTTGAAGAACCCTGGCAGGCTGTGCCGAGGGTAATAAGGCAGCAGATCCAAGCTTTGCTCCAGCTCAGACTGGCTGCTACTTTTATGAAGCCATTTACTCCCTGGCCCTTGTTCAGCTGCCAAGCTCAGACCTTGTTTGGGTCTCTTCCCCTAAAGGAGCTGGGTTGCCTAGAGAAGACGTGTCAGAAGAGCACTGGTGCATTTATTTAGACCAGGGGCGCAGGGAATTCTTTTTCAGCCCAACGTTCACACACCCTCCTTGACAATTTTCTGAGGGCCACATGTCAGTGCAACCAGAGGCAAAAATGGACAGAGCCATTCATGTACATTTTATACCTAGGATTGCATGAGCCTCATTTGCCACTGCGTCACACTGCTGACTCTTGTTCAGCCTGTGGTCCCCACAGCTGAAAACCATTTTCAATGACCATTAAATCATTCCCAGTTAACATTTGTTGTTGCTTTCTAAAAAGGTTATTATAAGTTTTTGCAGTGGTACCTCTGGTTAAGAACTTAATTCATTCCGGAGGTCCGTTCTTAACCTGAAACTGTTCTTAATCTGAGGTACCACTTTAGCTAATGGACCCTCCCACTGCTGCCGCGCCGCCGCCATGCGATTTCTGTTCTCATCCTGAGGTAAAGTTCTTAACCCAAGGTACTACTTCGGGGTTAGCGGAGTCTGCAACCTGAAGCGTTTGTAACCCGAAGTGTTTGTAATCCGAGGTACCACTGTATTTAAATCAAAAACCCTAAAAATGACATGCACCACTTTCAAAGAGGCATCCCTTCCTTGCCTTTACAGTCAGAACAGAAAGGAATGCCTCTTCTGACAAGAATTCACACCACGACATTCACTGACGTTACCTAAAAACAAAGCATGCATTTTTTCCTTCCCAATTGCAGTTTTAGTCATATGCCAACTTATAAAAGATTTGGTCAACAGGTTCTTATTAATTCACTGTGATCTCTTTAATAGGGTAACAGCCCTCATGAGCATCACAAGCACTTTCCCAAACTAGTTCTGAAGTTCAGCATCAGCCACTGGGTAGACGCAAGACTTCTTCAAAGAACATGAGGCAACACCACATCCCCACTGCCCAGATGCCTGCCTGGTAGCCGCTGCTCGAGAATACAGTTCACTGTGCCTCCACAACATCTCTCTCTCTACGTAACAGCCCAGGTTCTGGTTAGACAGGGATAACAGCCCTTCCCACACATACAGCCAAGAGAGGAACTAGAAGTCTGCAACTGCAACAGAATAACTAACCCAGCTTGAGAAAAGTGGCAGCCCTTAGGTCAGGTGTGGGAAACCATTGGTTCTTCAGATGTCACTGAACTAAAACTCTCTGGCTGTGCTTGCTGGGGCTGGTGGGAGACACCAGTCTGGAGGAGCCCTTGCCTCAGTACATGCGAGAGTTTGGGGAAACCAGCTGGGCTTCTCTGCCAGGCTGGAATTAATAGGAAGGGCTGAGGCATCCCTAGCATTGCCCCACACATTCACCCTCACCTCTCCCAAACATGAAACCCAGAGACAGGACGTTTGTGGAGAGCAGCAAAAAGGAAGATTTCCTCCCACAGAGCTTTACCTGCTTTGTTTCTGCTCGACAGGCGGTTGTTAAAGGCACAGGAGTTGGGGGAGTGACACAATTCTGGCCAAAAGTGTCTTCTGTTACCTTTTTCTTAAAGCGTCCTCTCTCTGCCTGGGATCACTCTGGGGGCTTCAAGGTGTCTTGGGATAACAACCTCTGAACTCACTTCAACCTCTGAAATGTAAGTGCCAACTGTCTCTGTTTACCAGAGGTGGCACCTGTTTCCTGGCTTGTCCCTGGGGCAAAAAAAAAAACCAACCAAAAAAATCACTGCCCTATTTTTTCCTTTGTATGTTTTGACTTTAGGGAATGCCTTGCTAAAACATTGCTCTTGTGAGCTGAGCTGCCAGGAGAATTGCCAGCCATTCTGAAAGTTCATCTCCCTCTCCCGTGTAGAGTCTGCAGAAGTTAAAACCTCCAAGTTGGAGACAGCAGAGTAGATGCACCTGGCTTTTAAATAAGCTTGCAAATAAGCCCTCAAAAATTACCGTATTTTTCGCTCTATAAGACGCACCAGACCATAAGATGCACCTAGTCTTTGGAGGAGGAAAACAAGAAAAAAAATATTCTGAATCCCAGAAGCCAGAACTGCAGCGAAAGCAGCGATCCCTCTTGCTGTTCTGGCTTCTGGGATAGCTGTGCAGCCTGCTTTTTAGAAGGGAAAAAGTGAGTCTTATAGAGCAAAAAATACGGTACTAAATTGCCTATTGAGGCTGGTAGAGCTGCAGAATCTCTCAGGAGTTAAGATAAGCAGAGGGGAGCCCTCTTGGTAGTTCCACAACCCTCAGAAGCTTGGGGTGGAGGTGGGCCAGGAGACAGCTCCCTCTGTGACAGCTCCCAAATTGGGTCCATTCTCTCCCCACAGCATTGCTATTGGAAACTTCACTATACAAGTGCTGAAGACACACCTCTTTGCTCTGACCTTTCTCACCTGAGATGAAAGGACATGGCACTTTTTGCTAATGAAGACAGGAGCTGCTGGCTCAGAGTAACAACCCAAAGCAGAGACATACCTGGGGTCCCTTGTGCCCTTGGGCAAGGAGCTGTATTGACACCCACCCATACCCCAGGGGGGAAAATCTGAGAAGCAGGAAAGGTTGCCTGGACAGGAGGAACATGCCTCCTCAGGGCTGAATAGGGTGCCTGTGCTGCTCTCTGCCAGGAAGCCAGGAAGAGGGGAAACCCCTTTCCGTCCCCTCCAGCAGGAGTAGCTTTTCCTGCTGGAAATCCTGGCAGATTTCTTCTGCAAGCAAAGCAGGTGCTAGAGTATTGTGCTGGGGGAGTGGGTGCTCCACGTGTCACAGGAAGACTCCAATGTCTGATAGGTTATTTTTGAGCCCCCAATGGGGGCTGGTTTCACCAACCACTTGGTATGCCTCTGACCCCAAATCAAAAGCCTCTGAAACAGCCTCAGGAAGCAATCAATGTGAGCTAATGGTCTTATTTCAGGGGTTCCCAAACTGTGGTCCATGGACCATACCCTCCAACATTTCTCCAATGAAAATAGGGACATCCTAAGGAAAAGTGAGACATTCCAGGATCAAATCAGAAACCGGGATGGCTTCTCAAAATGAGGGATGTCCCTGTAAAATAGGGACACTTGGAGGGTCTGGTGGACCACTAGCGGTCTGCAAGTTTCATTCAGGTGATCCTTGGTGTGTCTGTGGATTTGTGGCTGAAGACTGGAGACGGCAATATCCACATTGATTTTTAATTGTTTTATTGCTTCATTTGTTGTATTTTATGTATTACAATTTTAATTCTATGGAATTACAATTGCAACAACAAACAGAAATTATTAAGTGGTCCACCAAGACCCCAAGTAATTTTCAAGTGGTCTGTGGCGAGAAAAACATTGGAAACCAATGTCTTTATTTTCTACTTGGGAACTCTTACTTCCCTTTACACCCCCAAGTGGAGGAGATAGGCATTACAATTCATTCCAAGGTCAATTTAATGATACCAAATGGTTAATTGCTGGGGCTCCAGCATAACTGGGAGCCTCTGTCAAAAAACCTCAGATATGGGAGGAGGAACAATCTATGGTTAAGCCACAAAAAAGAAAAAACCATTCTGCACATGTCTAGAGGCACTCTCTTCATATGTTCCAGTTTACAGACATGGCGCTGGGAAAAGGATATAGGGCTGACCCCTGAGTCAATTTAAGCTGGGTCTGGCATCATTCTTCTTTTTTGCTGTTTGGTCCAGGGAAGCCAGTTTCTTTGTATCACTAATCTTGCCATATGGGTTAAGCCCCTTTAATCCCTCTCCCTCCATATGGAACATAGGCCAAGCCCTAGAAAATCTGCTATAGGGAGGGGTGGAAACGTTCCTGTGGGCTTCTCCGTTTGCCCCTATTTTGCCTCTCTGCTGACCTCCTCAGTCTCACACAGCTGTTGCTTGGAGACCTTGCGGTACCCAGGACTGCACAGAAACACCCACCCACAGGTCTGGTTTCCAAGGCAATCACCTGCTTGTCTCCCAAAGGCAGCTGTCTTGGCCTTCGGCAAAACAGGCAGGTAAAACAAGCCAGAGGCCCCAGCTGTGTGTGCTTGGTGTCCTTCTCACACCTGTCAGCAACAATGCACCAGCCCCAGCCCATCTGTTGCTCGCTGTCTTCTGAGTCTTCCCTGTATGTGAGGAAGAGGGGTCTGGGAAACACTTCTCCTCTCAGCAACCCACCCCCCCTCCACGGCTGCTTGCCAGTGCAGACCTGTCCTCAAGAGGCCACCATGGGAACACCACTGCTACCATCACCCACTCTCATTCGTACTGAAAGAGTTCCACATCACACTCCCCAGTGGTTCAAGGAATGGTGTGTGTGTGTTCTCCCTTCTGGAAATAATGATGTAGTGCTTTGAACTTAGAATGAGGAGGATAATTATGTGCTAGAATGAAAAGCAGGATGGAAATTCACTCCAAAATGAATTGAAAACTAAGCTGAAAGGACCAAATTCTGAAGGACTAAGCATTCATAGATCATCTGATGAAACACATGTAAATATGGCATCCGGCTTCCTCGGTTTGTTTGCTGGCAGCTCCAGCCTGAGGGGACCCACAACCATCCCAGACTACAGAGAAAGGCAATGGCAGGACAGCAGCAGAGAGCACATGCTGTTTGCACAGCCAGGACTCCAGCTCTCAGTGCTTCTAATTTTGTACTGATGTGCAAAACCAGCAGTGCGCAAAACGGCACCCTCAGAGGCACAGGCAGTCTGAAGCACAAGAATGCTTCAGAGCCCTCCCCAGCCAGAACTGGGGAGAGCTAAGCAAAAAGCTCCTTTCCCCCTACAGCCAGTCTCCTTGAGTTGCTCTTTCCATGAATGATTGGCCCAGATTGAAGGAGGTGGGTTGAGGCATACCCTGCCTTGGCAGCTCAGACAGGGCTCCCGGGGGACTAATACTGGCATGTAAATATTAGATCCTCATGTCTCCTCAGAGACCAATTACATAAATCATGGCAGCTCCCACAGGACTGCCAGCTTCCACTTACTGTATCATCGTTAACAGCTTATTAAGGAGCAGCTGCTCAAGGAGAGAGAGAGAGAGAGAGAGAGAGAGAGAGAGAGAGAGATGAAGGGGGGGATCCATCTCCTCCTTGGAGCACCCCACCTCCCAATCCTGACAGTGCCACACCCAAATACATTTCATGCAATTAATCCCAGCCAAAGTGACAGAAGTATTTTTGAGTACCAATGAAGAATGGGCCAAAGAGGCACTGTTACATGCTAAGGCAGGTCTTGGGCAAGAACCATGGCATTAAAAAGACATGGCATGCCAAAATCATATTGCTGAGGTGGAAAAGGTGCAGAAAGGGGCAACACCTATATTCAAGGAATTACAGCAACACACCTAGAGCAACATGTGATGCTTTTTAGTCTAGGCAAAAGGTGAGAAAAGGAGGATGTGATAGAGGCAGATAAGATCATGCATGGTGTGGAGAGAGTGGAGAGAGAAAAGTTTATCACATTACTAGAATGAAGCTGAATATTGGAAGATTTGAGACAGACAAAAGGAATCATTCTTCACACAACGCTTAATTAAACTTTGGAATTTGTTCCCACAAGGGGCAGTGATGGCCACCAACTTGGATAAGCTTTGAAAGAGGATTAGACAAAATCATGGATGATAGCACCATCAACTGCTACTAGTCCGATGGTTAGTTCCACCTCCACAGTCAGTGGTAGCATAGTTCTGAATGCCAGTTCTTGGAAATCGCAAATGAGGAGTGCAGTTGCACTTAGGTCCTGCTTGTGGGATTCCCAGAAAAAATCTGATTGGCCACTGCTTATCCACACTTCTGTTTCCCCACAGCTTTCCCCCCAAGAAAACCCGCAGTTGAGTGCTGAACTGAAACAAACAGCAATCAAGTTTTCCATAGACTGTCGTTTGTTTTGATTTAGCGCTAAAGAGTGGGTTTTCCAGGGGAATATGGCAAGGTTAAGGCAAAACCACCAGTGCTTTCTAGGCACAGGACAAGCAGAAGTGTGGATGAGCCCCAGAATGCTGAACAAGGTGATGGGTCATGGCCCTGATGTATGTTTAAAAAGATTATTGGGGGGGGGCAGACAGACCAGACCTGCCCTTATGATTTTAACAATGGTTTGATGGGCAAAAACCAGCTGAAGCAACCCTTTCACAACATAGAGATAAGCATTACTACTTGCTAATTTCTGCACATCAAGCGGATGTTGAAAGGTGCTGCAAATTTAATCCCGGCTGATTGCCTACCCAAGCCTTTCTCTACCCTCTCTGTCTCCCCCCCTAAAACAAAACAAAAAAGCTTTTTATTTCCTGTGTTGCTTTCTTTGGAGGAAAGGGGATGGCGGAGACAGTTCTTAAAAGTTATAGCCTCTTCTTCTTTACCCTCCCCACTAGGGATACATAATAAGAGCTGTCTGCCCATCTTTCTCCCAGGTACAATTGAGCCTGCATTCTGCCAGAGAGCCCTCCAAATCGGATTACTCTGGCATTAAAAGGTGAATCTAATTTGGAGCTGCCACCCTTTGGCAGGAGACCCATTAGCTCTCCTTGTGCGGCTCCATCTAGGCTCTCCCAGCAGGGAAGCAGAGTCGTACAGAAGAGAGGGGGAGGAGGGGAGGGGGAGGGGAGCGGGGAGATTTGCTGCCTTCCATGAGCTGCTTTCAGATCCTGTCTCTTGCAGGCAGCTGGAAACGGATGAAGAAATGCTCAGGGCAATTAGGCAGTGGGGCAATATACATCACGGCCGAAACATCTGCTAATAATGTCTCTGGTGAGCCATAAAAGCCCAAGGTTTTGGCCCAGGAACATATAAGGAAAGAGGAAAGGTGGGAGGGAGAACAGTAGAGGGAAGTGAAGCTTGCCCCTTGTAAGAGATTGAAATAGAGCTGTCTGCATGCAGTTTCTCCCTGGCATTCCTCCACTCTGATGGAAGGCTACTTTTCCATGCAAATGTGTGTATGTGTGAAGGGGGATCTTAGTGGTAGGAACAAAACATATTAATAATAATAATAATAATAATAATAATATTCAGCTGGGGAAAGGAAGGGGAGGAGTAAACAGTGTAGCAGGAGGACAATCTGCAAACTTGGTGTGCAGAACTGGATGCCACAGTAGAATTCCGGCGCCCTCTAGTGTTAGGCTCTGGCTACTACAGCAGCATGTAAGTGTTTTTAATGGTTTGCCGTACAAGCTCCAAGTTAAAGACTAAATGACTGATTGAGACAGAGGCTTTTGTGCAGCAGATGCATGAAAAGAGAGAAAGGAAATAAAAGCAGTTAGCAGTGGGGAAATGTAGAGAGAAATGTATTAGCTGTGGGCTAAATACTAACCATGAACTTGGAAGGGGCACAGCCTGTGACATTTCTATGCAAAGCCCAAATGTATACAAGATTAGCACCCTGACCTCTCACAGCAACATTCCAGAGGGATAGACGTGTTTGTCTGCTATGCTTTTAATCAGCTGAAGCCAAGGTTTTCTCTACCACATAAGGAGAGTACTTGCTTTTATTTATTTATTTTACTTATTTCATAAAAATTACACACCACTTGATTATATCTTCAAAGCTTTGCACACAGAAGGTCTCAGGTACAATCCTTGGAGTCTCCAGTTAGAAGGAACAGGAGTTGCAAAAAGCACCCTGGAAAGCCACTGCCGGTCAGAGCTAACAATACTGACCCAGTATAAGGCAGCTTCCCATGTTCCTAAAGAGGCAAAATGTTTTCTAAGCAGTGACTCCCACAGTGAATGGTGCCTGTGCTTATCTGATTTGCACTTGAGGCTAGCACAGAAGAATTACAGACAGCCTCTTCTACTTTCCATGGACTTTTGGCCGTACTGCTTCTGATTTATTTTCCTATAAACACACACATACACTTGTCAGCTTAGCATAGACATTTCTTGTAATGAAATCAGCTCCAATCCACAAAAGCTTTGGCCCCAGTAAATCTGTTTTGGCTTTTAGGTGCCACAACACTAGTAGCAGTCTAATACGGCTAACTCCATGGAGATTTCAGCTTGTTTAATTTGTACTACAACTCACATAAGCCCCAAGCAGTGTGATCAATGGGTATGGAAACAATAGTCATAGTAAGCAAAGGAACATAGGCATTATAAGAAGTCAGACCATTGGTCCACCTAGCTTAGCGTTGTCTTCACTGCCTGGTACCATCTCCCTGGAATTTCAGGCAGCATTCTCTCCCAGCGCTACCTGGAGATTCCAGGGACTGAACCTGAGACCTTGTGCATGCAAAGCAGGTGCTCTAGCACTGAGCTACAGCCCTTCCCTGAAGTTTGCGCATCAGCTGTGACAGTTTGACCTCTTCCTGTGCAGTTTAGGCTTTATTCTGCCAGAGGGCCAACCAAATCAGATTAGCATTAAAAGGTTAATCAAATTTAAGATTCCACAATTCTGCAAGCTTTCAAAGTCCTGCCCCCCCGCCCCTCAACCCAGCAGGAAAACTTTACATGAAGATTGCTATGCATAGAAAGCAGGACTTGCATGAAACTGCCATCCACAGAAAGTAAGACTTAGAACCCCAAGACTTGGAACTCCAGAAGCAAATTTGTGTCTCTGTCCCCCCCCCCCCCCCCCGTCTCTCTGATAACACTAGAGTTCAGTGTTGGAAGATTCAGGGCAGACAAAAGAAAAATACTTCGTCACACAGCCTATGGTTAAACTATGGAATTTGCACCTGCTAGAACAGGCTTCCTCAAACTTGGCCCTCCAGATGTTTTGAGATTACAATTCCCATCATTCCTGACCACAGGTCCTGCTAGCTAGGGATCATGGGAGTTGTAGGCCAAAAACATCTGGAGGGCCGAGTTTGAGGAAGCCTGTGCTAGAAGTAAGAATGATCATCAACTTAGATGGCTTTAAAAGAAGGGTAAACAAGTTCATAGGAATAAGGCTGCCAATGGCTACTAGGCATGATGGATATGTTCCACCTCCACTGTTGCTTGGAATTGCAAGTGGGGAGAGAGCTGTTGTGCTTAGGTCTTGCTTTGGGGATCCCATAGCCCTCTGGTTGGCTATTCTGAAACAGGATGCTGGACTAGATGGGCCCTTAGCCTGATCCAGCAGGCTCTTCTTACATTCATATGCTCTTTCTGCCCCAGCCCAGTTAGAACCCTGCACACACATACACCAGACTTGCCATAGGTTACATAACGTGTGTCTTTCAAAACACCCACTCACACCAATAGGCCAACACTTGGCAGATGGCATTTGTAAGAGAAACACAAAGCACTGTTTCTCAGTCCATATGCACAGCAAGAGGTATAATAACAAGAAAGGGAAAGAGACACTGAAATAACACACAACCATGATGAACTTTTGGTTCTCAACTGAAAGCCAGCATGCTTATTCTCTCTCTCTCTCTCTCTCTCTCTCTCTCTCTCTCTCTCTTCACAAATTCATAGAATCATAGAATAGAATCATAGAATCATAGAGTTGGAAGAGACCACAAGGGCCATCGAATCCAACCCCCTGCCAAGCAGGAAACACCATCAGAGCACTCCTGACATTTGGTTGTCAAGCCTCTGCTTAAAGACCTCCAAAGAAGGAGACTCCACCACACTCCTTGGCAGCAAATTCCACTGTCGAACAGCTCTTACAGAGGTTTCTCCTCTGCTAAATGCTACAGAGTGAGTTGCACATGCAAAGAGCCATCCCTGAAAAGGCCCTTCCCTGGCCCCTCATACCATGGACTTAATCCTGTATAGGGGAGACCAGCAAGAGAGCCTGATCTGCTGATCTTAAAGAATGGGATGTTTGATATGGGAGAAACTATACAGAGAGAAACTGGAGATATGTACCTAAGGAGAGACTGCTGGTTCAGGCTCCCCCACCCCACCCTCTCTCTCATAAAATGTATATGGAAAGTACCATCTTAAAAGGATGAGTTCCACATTCTCTCACACAAATAGAAGGGATGCCTCTTCTGAGATGCTGCCTTTTGTAGCACTTGCCTACATGTGCTTATGTAGCCCTCCCTCGCCCCCAAATAGAGCTGTGTACTTTTTTCACATGCCAATTTAAGCTGCACTCCTAGGTACACTAGGGACGCGGGTGGCACTGTGGTCCAAACCACTGAGCCTTGGGCTTGCCGATCAGAAGGTCGGAGGTTCAAATCCCTGCGACGGAGTGAGCGCCCATTGCTTGGTCCCAGCTCCTGTCAACCTAGCAGTTCGAAAGCACGTCAAAATGCAAGTAGATAAATAGGTACCGCTCCAGCAGGAAGGTAAACAGCATTTCTGTGCGCTTCTCTGGTTCTCCAGAAGCAGTTCAGTCATGCTGGCCACATGACCCGGATGCTGTATGCCGGCTCCCTCAGCCAATAAAATGAGATGAGCGCCACAACCCCAGAGTCATCCATGACTGGACTTAACGGTCAGGGGTCCCTTTACCATTTACCTAGGTACACTTACTAAGGAGCAAGCCCCACTGAGCTCAAGGACCAGGATGTAAACATGCTTAGGGTTCACACTGAAAACCAATTCATTAACTGAGTAATCGACTAAAACTCATATAATTAATCAGCTGATGAAGTTCATTTGCCGGGCAAAACAGCGCTAATTATAAATGTAGTAAAAAAAAACAACCAACCCACAACCTGCTGGTCTATGAAATGTATATGAGCAGTTGGGCACAATAATGAATTTCTGGAAGGAGAAGATGTGGCCCAGGGCTGCCTTTAAATTGCAACTTCCAATCTAGAAGCTTCTGTTCCAAGGTTTGTGGGGCCCAGCAATCACAGTCACAAAGGAAGCTGCCTTAAAACACACCAGCCTGGCTCCACACCTCTCCAGGTTCTAAGGCAGAGAAGTTATTTCCCCTTCACCAGTTACCTGATCCATCCATTAGGACCCTCTCTTACTAATGAGGGGTAGATACACAGTGCATGCTCTAAAAGATACTGGAGCTGTATGCACAATGCATGCATTTAAAGAACCCACCCACCGAATCCAGGAAACTGTAGTCTGCCTCTCACAGAGCAACAATTCACAATACCCTTAACAAACTATAGTTCCCAGGACTCTTTGGAGGGGTACTTTAAATGTACGTATGGTGTGTGCACAGCCCCAGTGTCTTTTTGAGTATGCACTATGTATCTAATTATATTAAACCACAGAGCCTAGGGCTTGCCGATCAGAAGGTCAGAAGTTTGAATCCCTGCGGTGGGGTGAGCTCCCGTTGCTCTGTCCCAGCTCCTGCCAACCTAGCAGTTCGAAAGCACATCAAAGTGCAAGTAGATAAATAGGTACCAATCTGGTGGGAAGGTAAACAGCATTTCCGTGCGCTGCTCAGGTTCGCCAGAAGCGGCTTAGTCATGCTGGCCACATGACCCGGAAGCTGTATGCCAGCTCCCTCGAACCAATAAAGCAAGATGAGCGCCGCAACCCCAGAGTCGTCCACGACTGGACCTAATGATCAGGGGTCCCTTTACCTTTACTTTTAAGGCATGCATAAGTTTACATTTACATATCTTCCCCTCACTAGGGGCTGGGAACTGTAGTTTGCCCCTCATATAGCTACTAGCTACACTTCCCAGCATATGTAACAAACTAGTTTCCAATATTCTTGAATGAGGGGAAGTGTGTTTTGAATGTGTACTCAGACTAAATTTTATCCCATTTTAGTCCTACTCAGGGTAGACCCATTAAAGTGAATGAAGAAGACTATTGTAGATTCATTCATTTCAATGGATCTACTCTGCATAAATGTCAGTTGAAGCACTTTCTCCTTCATAATGGCTTCACACATTCCAAGGCAGATTCCTGGCATCGATCAAAGCTTCCGGGGCCAAGCCCCTACTTCCCCTCCATGAAGCTGTAGAATTTAATCATCCAGCTGTTTTTAGAAGCAGATGTATAGACATCTGGCAGAGAGACTGGATCTAAAAGGAATGCTAGTTCAGTGTGTCCTGTGAGGCGGAGGTAGCAGGACTAGATTACTTTGAAGGTCCCCTTCCAATTTGAGAATGCTCTGGATTCTCTCAAGAGCCACAATATTATGGATACAAGGGTGGTTTTGTTTTGAAAAAGTAACTGTTTTGTTTGTTGCTTTGAAAACTTTTTTAAAAAACCTGATAGCTGCCTTGAACTCTGTGAGTACAATGGGCTACAAGAGGCAGTGGGTTTTTTTAAAAAAAGAGAGAGAGAAGGTAAACTCTCTATAAGGCAGAGGTAGCCAACATGGTGCCCTCAGATGTTGTTGAACTCCAGCTCCCATCCGCCCCAGCTAGGATGACCAATGCTCAGGGATGATGTGGGCTGTAGTCCAACAACTGGAGAGTACTCCATTGGCCAGGGGTCGCCAACGTGCAGCCCATGGGCCGGATGGAGCCCACGAAGGCCATTTTACTGGCCCACGAGCTGCCCCCCAACCAAGCTACCCACTCAGCGAGTCCTCAGCGTGCTGCACAGTGCGAGGACTTGTTGAGCGGTGCAGGAAATTGCTTCTGCACATGCGCAGATACCAAAAATTGCATCTGTGCATGTCCAGACGCCAAAAATTGCTTCTGCACAGGCGTGATTTTGGGCATCTGGGCATGCACAGAAACAATTTCTGGCGCCGTGGACATGAGCAGACGCGATTTCCAGTGTCACACTGTGCCAGTCTGGCCCACAGATCATCTCTGTGGGAGTGATCCGGCCCATGGCCAGCAAACCTTGCCGACCCCTGCCATTGGTTATCCTTGCTGTAAACTGTTCAGGCCATCCTATAGGGGTTGTCCAGAAGATGCTGCAAATGAGTGTTCCCTCTCTTCCTTCACAGGAGACAAAGTGCCTTGACATCAAGAGTGACCATCAGCAGAATATTATGAAAATGATATACAGGTGGTACATAACCCCAGTCAAGCTTGCGAAAATCTATCACTTGCCCGATAACAAATGTTGGAAATGTAAAGAAACTGAAGGTACATTTTTTCACCTTTGGTGGACGTGCCCAAAGATTAAGGCTTTCTGGGAAATGATATATAATGAATTAAAAAAGGTATTTAAGTATAACTTCCCCAAGAAACCAGAGGCCTTTCTCCTGGGCATAGTGGGCCAAAGGGTGTTAAAAAAGGATAGAACTTTCTTTATGTATGCAACAACAGCAGCAAGAATACTCATCGCAAAGTATTGGAAGACACAAGAACTTCCCACGCTGGAGGAATGGCAGATGAAAGTTATGGACTATATGGAATTGGCGGAAATGACTGGCAGAATCCGTGACCAGGGAGAAGAGTCGATGGAGGAAGACTGGAAGAAATTCAAAGACTATCTTCAGAAACACTGCAAAATTAAGGAATGTTAGAGTGATGTTGGATTGAAAATAAGTGGTTTCCAGCTGTACAGGTTAAAGTTAAGGATAGATTAAGATTAAAGATTAAGATTAAAGATGTTTAAAGAAATGGAAATTTGATAATAAAAGGGAAAAATTTAAAGCTATATGACATTAAGAGCAAGGATTAGGTTTAAAAATTTGAAGTTATATATTTTAACATTTTATTAAATTAAAGATTGGGATTAAAAAAGTGGAAAAGAAACTGCTGGACAAATAATGTGGATTGGAATACAAAATAGGGAGGTATGAGGAAGTCCAGAAAATAAGTAATCTAAAATTGGAAATGGAAAAGAGAGTTTGTTTTTAATTGTTATGTTTTGAGTCTTTATTGTTAAGTTCTGTATTGTTTTTTGTGTGTGTTGTTTTTCTTTTTTCTTTGTTTAAAACCTTAATAAAAAATTATTTAAAAAAAAAAAAGAGTGACCATCAGCAAGGCAACCCTAGAGGCTGGTAATGACTTACTGCTCAATAAAAGCACCACCCCCACTCCTTGCTGTGAGTGGGAGGGGCCAAGAGGAAGCCACCCCATCTTCCTCCTCCTCCTCCTTTTATGCCTTGCATCACAGGAACTGCTAGTCAAGTCAGGCTGCAGAGACACCATCCATTTAAAGCACATTTCCCAGGTACCAGCCTGTATTGCACATACACACAAATAGGCCAGTGCTCCATGGGATCCGTTGCTGAGGATAAGCGGGCAGTGGCTGCTCTAGTCCAGGTACAGACCTGCTTAATAATGTCACTGCCAAAAAGAGTGAGAAGGGGGGGGGGAGAGTGAGAAAGGCAAGGTCAAAACAAACACTCAAACAAATGTGGGACATACCAGGCCTGACCAGCTCAAAAATAGTCAGTGGTTGGAATGGGACTTGGGAGAGAAAGGGCAAAGCTATGCCCCAAGGAGCAAACAGTACAACGATCACAGGGCAAATAAAGGCAGAATTAGGGCTCTGTGCATGCTGCAATTAAAAACAACAATGAAAGTCTGCAACAACATAACCTAATTCTGTGACCTGCATAAGGTCCCCTATCTCCCATTTCTAGTCTTGTCATCATGCATGTGGGCATTGTTTTAAGGAACCTGTTAAGTTCTAGAAAACTCAAAGTGTATATGTTTACAGTTGAGGGGGGAGGGAATATCAGAGCCAGAATTGGCATCCATACAGAATATAAAGACTTCCCTTTATTTATTTATTTTTAAAAAGGAAAAGAAATAAGAAAACATTCCCCTTTTAAGATGGGAAGTAAGGTGGTTGTGGGAGCCATCTTTTGCTATTTCTCCTTGACCTGCGACTCCAGAAATCTTTAAGATAAATCACCTTAGCAACTTTAAACCATTACACTGGACAAGCTGGGCAGAGGGGCTCTGAGCATGATGGAGGGTGTAGGGAGAAGAGGAGAATGGAATTCTGCTGAAATCGGAGCCAGCTGCTCTCTGGCTCTTGCTGACAGGGAGCAGTCAACTCCTGGGAGAAAGATTGCTCACATTCCTGCGCTTCCCAAGGCTCTTGGCTACGCTCAGCCACAACAAAGGGCAGGCGGAGCGCCCAGGATGAAGAAAGGAAAGGAAAACATGCTAAGATATTCCATCTTTTTCCTTGCTCACCCACCCACCCACAACTCACACTGATGTTGTTTTTTTCTCCCACTTTCAGGAGACAACCAATTTTGGGAGCTTATGGGGAACATGGCTGACATGCATAGAATTCTAATGTCTATCTTTTCTCCTTCCTGCATGGAAAAAAGGGCCTCTCAAAGCTCACATTTGCTCATATTCATTATGTTTTCCTAACAATCAATCCAGATGAACTGCCCAAGTAGAAAATTGAGCTGGCCAAGACAGCCTTCTTCCTGCTCCACATCCTCTAGGTGTTGATTGACAACACCTGGACAAGGATTATGGGAGTTGGAGTCCTGCAACATTTGGAGGGTACCAGGTTGTGGAAGCCTGTTCGGGATCAAAGCAAAAAGTACAACCTAGTCTCTCCTCCACTCACAGTCAGATTTGTTGTTTACCTATATGATCGTCAAGAAACCTGAATGGCAAGGTAATACCAGAACCCCAAGGGGTCATCCAATGAAGGTGAAAGTTGGAAGATTCAAGGAAGGCAGGCAGAGAGACTTCTTCACACAGCACATGGTTAAATGATGGAATTCACTAAAGGAAGATGGATTAATGGCCACCAACTTAGATGGCTTTAAAATGAGTTTAGTCAACAACACAAAGGCCAGGGGTAGGCAACCTAAGGCCCGTGGGCCCAATTGCCTTCTCAATCCGGCCCGTGGATAGTCCAGGAATCAGCGTGTTTTTACATGAGTAGAATGTGTGTTTTTATTTAAAATGCATCTCTAGGTTATTTGTGGGGCATAGGAATTCATTCATTTCCCCCCAAAAAATATAGTCCGGCCCACCACATGGTCTGAGGGACGGTGGCTGAAAAAGGTTGCTGACCCCTGACAAAGGCAAAGCTATCAACCAATGGTCACTAACCCCAAGGGCTATGTTCTCCCTCCAGTGCCAGAGGTAGTATGCCTCCGAATGCCAGTTGATGGGAATCACAAGTTGGGAGAGTTACTGTTGCACTCAGGTCCTGCTTATGAGCTTCCTAGTGCGGAAACGGATGGGCCACTCTGAGAACAAGATGCTACACTAGATGAGACTCTGGTCTGATCCACCAGGGCTCTTCCAGTCTTCTTAACCTCAAGCAAACTACTCTTGCTCAGCCTCCACAGATGCCTATAATCTCAAGTCTTTTCTCAAGTGACAGGCACAAAGCTAGTCCCTGGCAACCCTTGCAATTATACTTTCCAGATCAGCCTCTATTATTTAGAGCTAGTTTGTGGTTAGAGAGTTGAGTTAGGACCAGGGAGAACCAGGTGTGTGTGTGTGTGTGTAAAATTACTATCCCTTAACAGCTTGGGGCCAGTTTACTTGAGAGACTGCCTTACCCCATATATGCCCACATGATCGCACTGTTACAGGTGCAACATCATACTCATTCTGCATTTGTAAGAAATACATCCTTTAGTGGTGGCAGCATCCACACTTTGGATCTCCCTGCTTTTTAGCAAGTGCCTTCACAGTACTCTCTTCTTGGCACCTGCTAGAAACATTTTTCTTTAGGCAAGTCTGTCCAGACATGCAGAATGTTGGCATGTGCTTTTATCTGGTTTTTGTTTTTTTAGCTTACTGATGATTTTAATTATTTTTTGAAGGTTTTAAATTGTTTTTAACTTCTCTTTTATTGATAATTTCATTGCTTTATTCTTTTTGTAAACCACTTTGGGTTTTTTATTATTTTAACAATCAAGCAGCATATAAATTTTATGAAATAAATTGTTATTGTTTCTACAACATTTCTACACTGACAACAGTTCCTTGGCATTGCTATTTATGGCTCAGAGCAGCATATTCTGGTGGCCATGGTCTGCTACAGGCCACAGCTAGTATAGCTGCTTCTCCTGACACACTCCCTTTCCTTCAGTAAAGAGGGCCAGCTAAAGGACTGCCATCTTCTCACCAATGCTTGTGCTCATGGGTGAGACTGTTTAAGAACCAGAGACTGAGGTGGTAAAGATTTTATGGCCAATGGCAAGCTTCTTGCCACTTGGATGTTTTTGCTACTCACACACAGCTGTTAAAAGTCACAGGAGCTGTGCCGGAGGGGAAAGTTGGCAACCTTAGGGGCACGGGGAGGAGGTCTGGAAGCTTGTTGCAGTAACACATTAAGTGGACCATATTGCTACAATGCATATATGTTTCAAGATCACAGAGGGAACCCCAGCAAAACCACCAGCAGACACACACACACACACACACACACACACACACACAAGCTCCAGCCCTCCAAGTCTCTCTTTCCCCCCTTGGTGCTCTCTCTCCATCACCCCCCCCCCACGGCCCCCTCCAGCATTCCTGCAAGGTAACGCAAAGTTAGGAGCAAGCAGGAAGACAATATAAGGACTATGCAGCCTCCCCTCCACCAGATGTGCATTAATAAGGCAGCTGCCCTCTAAGCTAATAAGGTCAGTTACTGGCTCCAGCGAGACGAGCAAACAAGCCGGGTCTTGGCAGTCGTACAGCTCTGGCTTGGCACTCGCTGCGCTTCGGCTTCCTGAATTCTTGAAGCATCAAGAGCGGCAAAACGTGGTGAAAAATAAGCATCCTAACAAAACCCCAGCCGTCTCCAACCTCGCTGCCACCGCCAGCTTTCTTCCCCATGGCCTCCAAATAAGACGCTTCCCTTGAACCACAGCGAGGAACCTGGCCAGGATTGCAGCTCTTGCGGTTTAGAGCACCCAAGGATGGAGGAGGAGGAAAAGGAGGCTGGGTAGGAGAACCCTTCAAGCCAATCGCCAAGAGGTGCCTGATAAAACAGGGTGGGGAAAGGACAGAGGGGTTTGGGCAGCTAGGGTGGGGCACATGGGGCAAATCCTGGGAACTGTAGTAACAAGAAATTAAGAAAACAGAAATGACGATGCCTCTGCAAACCTGCTTTCACCATCAAAACTCCCTCCTGGAAAATGTAAATACATCATATAGAAGCATGCTTCTAAGCATGTGCAGAGTGTCTTTCCTTCACCAATAAACAGTCCATTCAGATTTGGGAGGAACTTCACAGCAGAAGCGGTACAATGTCCAAGCAGACTCCCCCCCCCCCATTTGTTTTACTCAATTTAGCCCTGTCTGGCACCTGCTCTCAGGTTGCCCCCCCCCAACCAAAATGATAGTAATAATCCCAGAAAGCTGGGTTTTGATTTGCAGCTCTGCCACAGGCACTCAGCTGTATGACCTCAGGCAAGACATGGGAAAACAGGAAGCTGCCTTATGTTAATGTCTTATACCTTTGGTCAATCCAGCTCAATATTGCCTACATTTACTGGCAGCAGCATCTCCAGGACTGCAGGCAGGAGTCTCTCCCAGGTCTCACAGAGTTATGGCCCTCCCCCCCCCCTTAAAGTCTGCATTGCCCCAGAAAAATAAATGCAAGTTTAGGGAGCTATTTGAAGGCAAGGCTGCCTCCCAGCCCTTGGGCTGACTTAGGTTCTTCAGAAAGCTAGGCAACGGAGAGGCTGGAGCAAGCACAAGGAAAACAGACAGCATCTTGGAATCTCACAACTCACAACAAGGCAGTCTCTTCGATGAGAAGTCAGGGCTTTCATTTTGCCATCCCTGTCATCAGTTTTAGTTCCCCAGTTTTAGTTCCCCAGGCACCAGAGCTCAAGCCTGCCCTTGATACTAAATCCTCTGACTCAAATATCATACTCCATAACCCTGATGTTCTTTCCTGGGTCTATACCCAATACCTAAAAGAAAAGGCATTTCTGCCCCAAAATAAGAAACCACAATTCTGTGCCAAGAAAAGTGGGATTCTACAGAAACAGAGAATAAACATTCTCGGGGGAGAAGTTGACAGGCACTCTGCACATGCTTACAGGAACAAGCTTCTTTAACAAGCATTGAGCCTGAGTGCTGTGTGCCCAACAGACAATTCAGCAATAGCCCTTAAATGTCAAGCCTTCCCCCTGCAGCTGAGTCCCAGCCTAAGACAGGATTTGGGCTGTGGTCCTAACACCCCAGGATGCTGCTCAACCCAAACTTGCTTTATTGGCCCGTAAAGGCTCCCCAGGAAGGGGAATGTCTGCTGTTATCACCGCATATTTTCCCAGCAGTTTCACCTCAGCGAGCAGCCCCCCCAACCACCAATCACCGCCCGCCCCCATTGCGGCGCCTGCAACTCCCTTTGTTTTAAATATTATAAAGCAAGCCAGATGCTGGCTCTAATCCTCCCAGCTGGCGAGGATTTGCAAACACGTTAGAAAAAGGCAGCGCTGTTCCAAGTCAGCCCCTCAGCCGCTACTGCAGCTCGCCAGCGCAGCCTTCCCCATCTGCTGCCTATGAAAGGGTATCCCAGCCCGTAATTGGCTTCTTATGTCCAGATTAGGAGCAGACAAGGTGTCTCTCGTTGCACATGTGTACACCTCCGTCCCCCGAGCCATCTGTGGCCTGAGTCAGTGCTGGCAATAAGTCAGGGGTCCAAAGAAGAATGTGGACCCTGTGAAAGTGAAAGTGCAGAAAGAGAGAAGAAAAATGGGAGACCAGTTGGCCTGATACTTAGTTCCAAAGCCTACTTCATCTGAGAACGATCTGGCTGGAGAAAACGAAGCCAGCCAACTCCCTGATCTCAAGCCCCTTCCAGACCTGATCCATCAGTCAAGCCAGGGGGCAACTGAAGGAAAAACAGAATCTCCAGTAAAAGTGGTAGGCAAAAACAGATGGGGTTGGGCTGGGTTGGGCGACGATCTGAGAGATATAAGCTGTTCAGGAAAACCACAGAACCTTCAGAGGCATAACAAACTAGAAGGCACATAATGGACCAGCATAATCCAGAAAGGAGAAGGGGCTTGGCTTGGAAAACCTGGGATGCAATCCCACCTCTGCCATAGATTTGAAACTTCCTAAATCAACATCCTGAAACTCTCAACGGATAAGCACAAATTATTAGTCCTTATGGGTTTATTTATTACATTTATACCCCACTATTCCTATGAGGAGTTCTGGGCAGCACGGATGGTTCCTCTCTCTCTATTTTATTCTCACAACAACCCTGTGAGGTAGGTCAGGGTAAGAAAACAATGGCTGGCCCAAGCCTCCTAGTCTGACAGTCCAACCACTGCAACCACCCTGGTCCTCAGAGAGAACATTGCAATTATGCAGTACCTGGAGAAATGTCTCAATATCAGAGCCTGGGGGAAAGCTTCCACTCCCTGGAATATGAGGATAAGCAATGGGCAACAGCCAAAGTTTTATCTTTCCCCCATGACTATTATTCCCTATGGCTCTGGGACTACTAACATCCACCTGTGCCTGATCTACAGACTATCCCCTCTTTCTATCCACCAAGTCTCTGCCAAAAATTCCCACAGTATTTGCAAATTAGGCCAGCAAACAAATATAGGCATATGTTCCTAATTGACCTTACTGAACCTGACTGCACAACCTGGGTTATCTCTATACAGATTTTGAATGTTCACGCAAGTCTGCATACACCTGTGTATGCCCAGGCAGGCATCCATATAGACCCAGCTTTACATAGCTCATCCCCACTGAAGGGGAGAGCTAAGGAAAAGAGCCCTGGACATGCTTGCAGCGTGGCACTGGTTTTTAGATGGCACACACTTTCCTAAGAAGAATATCCAACCTTCATAATGTCAGCAAAAGGAAAGAAAAGTACTCCTGTAATACTCTGCTTTCCTACTAACATAAAAGAGCATTTTTAGGAGACAGTCAACACACCCCTTGTATTTGGTCCCCATGTAGCATTCATTAAAAAAAAAATCCTAGCTCTTATCACTACAGAGAAATGCTTGTGAAGATGCAAGTAGTTCCTGTTGAAATATGAAAGATAGGGTTGCAGGAGAGTGGGATGGGAGGGTCCAGGGTCTGAGGACAGGCAGATAAAACAATGCAAGCTTCAGAGTCATACATTTGTCCAATACCTGCCACCAGATCGCAGCCATGCCGTATATTAAAAGCACATGGCTTCCTCCAAAGAACCCTGGGAAATGTAGTTCACAGAGTTACAATTCCCAGCACCCTTAATAAACTATAGCTCCCAAGAGGCTGCAGCCAATCCAGGGTGCCTGACATGTGAAGCTGCCTGAAACATACATTTGCAAGCACTTTTTTTGTAAATAAGCATTGACAGACATTTGCTTTGTTAAAATCATCTCCTTAACACCTGGGGCAGCTTTGACCTTCTCCATCTAACCATGAAGTCTTATATCCCTCTGCATACCCACCCTGGTTATGCTCAGCTCAGTTTATCTAGTCTACAACCACATAAGCAATGGCATTCACATCTGGACAAGTTGACTAGGAACCCTATTGTTGCAGGGTGGGATGGAGGGGGTGTTTCACTGTATCCAGTAGCAGCCAGTGTGGTAGGTGGGGCACTGCTGCTCTCCTGGCATCCAAAACAGTGTGTCACTGGTGCTTACTGGAGAGACAGGGCTAGGTGCAGGGAGCTTGACATTGTGTAGGCACATAAAGCAAGAGCAAAGGTTGGCTCCACTGCAACACACCACACCAAATGCACCACACCTCGTCCCTCTCCCTCCAGTAAGCACAAGAAAAACTCTGTGTTTGGAAACTGGGTTGAAGGGGTGTCCCACCTACACCACCACACCAGCCATTACTGATTGTACCATGTGGTAGAGGGCACTGAAGTTGTTTCTGCTTATTTTACCAGCTATCATGGGACGGCAACTCATGAACTCCCTTCAGTATTGCCTTTGTTTGCTCAAGATGCCAGAAACATGAGGTTCCTGGGCCTAAATCTGGCCCAATGAGAGATGTCACTTCTCTACCCTCCAGACAGAGGCAAGGAAGGCAGGAGAAAATAGCATCTGTTGCAAGAAAACTCAAGAGGTAGGCCTTTCCAAGAGACACTACTGTGGGTTTATTCTGTGCATCAGAATCAATACCCAAAGTCCAACTGCAGCTCCTTTGAAGAGCCAGTAACTTGAACTTATATCACCAGGCACCCAAGATGAGAAGTGGAAGGTACAGCAGCTGGTATTCAGTGGTACACTGCCTCTGAACCTAGAGGTTTAATACAGTAAACATGACCCGTAGCCATTGAGAGACTTCTCCTTATCCTGCATGAATTTCACCAATCTACTTTTAAAGGCATCAAAACTAAGTTTCGCCAAACTTACCAGAAAAATAAGAGATCAAGATAACAAACGTTTTATAAAAGAATTGAAATGGTTTATTGAATATTTACAGATAAATTGTAAACAGAAAAGAACATTGGCAGGGTTATTATAATAACCTGCAGTTTCATAAGAGTATTTATTTAAAGTAAATGAATAAATGAACAAATTAAGTTAATTTGGATATGCAGAAGATATTAAAAATAAATTTAAGGAACTGCAGAAAGAGGGGGAAGGAAGTCAAGTTTTGAAATGTTAAAATTACTGTAAAATTATTGAAATGTATAAACCTGAAAATCATAAATAAAATAAAAAATAAAAGCATCAAAACTAGGAGCCAATGTTACAGCATTACCAATTCAATGGGGAGTAAAGGTCAGATAGGGTGGAGATGTGGGGAGGGAAATCCTCTATACAGAACCTGTCCCCTCCCCACACCCCAGTTCTGAGGTTGGGAATGTAAGGTCAGAAGTGAGAGTTTCAGCAATTCAAAGTGTGCTGGACAACTAAACCTGCATCAAGAATTGAAACTTGAGACCATCTGTGTTGTCCCAAATATGTAAGAGAACACACACAAAGTGCAGGGGCAGACACACATGTTTAAAGGGTATTCCTCGTAGGTGTTGATTCCCATTCGGGATAGCAAATGCACAGCCAGCTGCAAGGGAGGCACCTGAACCAATGACACTGCCCGCCCCCCTTCAAAGCCTGCCTGACAGGGTGCTTTTCTTTGGCTGTCCTACTTTCATCTATAGAAGAGTGCCTCTGTGGCAGAAGGAAGGTGGTCACCTCAGCAGCAGCTCCAATTTGTGACTGAAGATGCAGTTAACAATATCAGAAATGCCCTGACACACTTTACCTCTACCCCACTAAACAGCAGCACAGAATAATTTGCGGAAGAAGAAAGAGATCAGAGTAAGGCAGTCTCTTCATCTTATCCCAGAAAAATGTCAATGTGCGAGGGATGGGGGTTTTTCCCTGACAACTCTACAGTTATGTCACCCCAGACCTCTGTCTTTCATCTGCAAAATAGCATAGGCCTAGCCTCAGAAGGCAAATAAATCTCTGGATGACAGCAGCTACCGTGGTAGAGGAAAACTGGTGACACGGGAGCGGGCAAGCGTAGCCCAAAAAGGAGAAAGAAGTGGACTAACTTTTTTCCGGAAAGGCAATTGCTGGAAGAAAGCAAGAAGAGTTTCAAATATATATATTAAAGACCAGGAAATTTGGGGGGAGGGAGAGAGAGAGAGAGAGAGAGAGAGAGAGAGAGAGAGAATCCACAGTTCAGCAGGGGAGGGGAAAAGGTGGTTTGTTGATGACCCAAGTCATCGAACATTTTTTGGCACGCCTGTCCCAGGAACACTGGCCGCTGGCCCAGCACAGAGCTGAACTTAAACAAACTCCTGTTGCAGCCATCTGCTTGATTTTAAAATAAGTCAAACAATCTGTTGAGCCGTGGGTGATCAAATTTCCATCTGTGCGGACGCCTGCTCGCCTGCCTGGAGCCTCCGCTTGCCTCTACCAGCCAAACGCTCCCAGCAGCATGTGGCTGCCCTAATTCCTCCAGGAAAAGAAGAAACCGGACCTCCCCACCACCACCACCGCCATCCCCGCCCGGACTCCTAACTCAAACCAATTGCTATTTTTACAGCCACCCACCAAAAGCAGTGTTTGGATGGGAGTAGCAGGGAATACGGGATTGCCCAAAGGTGTCTCCCAGCCACATGACCTTGCTGCATGGGAGGGAGGGCCCATTCCATTCTGCTTTAAGCAGCAAGACAGGTGTGAGCCCTTAAGCAGTCAACAGAGAGGTTTGTAAACAGGAACACAGAGAGCAGCTAACCTACCAAGTATGAGCAGAAGCTAGCTGGGAAACTATGAAGAGATCTCTGGGTAATTTGCAGTGGATTGACAAAGGTTCTCAATTAATAGTGGTTTTAACAAGAGCAAGTCCTCCCTAACCACACCCTGGGGCCCTCCATACATTGTTTTTATTTTACATTCCTGATGATTTCTGTTCACATTGGCATTGGCATGGTTATACATATTCACACTTTTAATACTGTTCGCGCCTGCAAAAGTGTTGGGTCAGATATAGTGCTTCATTTCCAATCGGTCCACATCCTGTAACTTCCTGCTGGATTTCTGTAACCTTTCATAAGACAAACATTCCTGGGGGGTGTCCCCATAGTGCAAAAGTGCCCCTCCCAATGGAAATAACGCAGTAACACTGAGGAAGCATTGCAGAACAACTTATAAAGCAGAATGATGGGCAAACCGTCCAGTATTAATTTACCAGTATTATTGCATCAATGACAAGTTGCAGAATATATCTGCAAAAAGTGCCAGCCCTCCTTAGTCCTTCTCCTCAGGCCACACCCCTCAATGGGTGTTTTTGCCTGGTTGGAATGTGTCCTTAATCTCTGATCATGCCTCCTGCTTGATAGAGAGGCAGATGCGAGCATCTGTATAAACTTGCTAACTGCACAAAAGTAACATTTATAGTCACGATTGTGCCCATTTTTGCTTCTGGCACCACACATATCTCGCATGTGGCCCTCAGAAGGTTGTCCAGAAGAGAATGTGGTCCTTGGGCTGAAAAGGGCTCCCCAGCCCAATGCAAAGAAATGACAAGAACCAGCAGAAGAAGCAACTGAGAATTTGTATAAAGTTCATTGGAAAAACACTTGCCCCCAGATGCATACAAACCTGCCACCAAGTTCTGCCCACACCAGTAAACAATTAAAAAAGAAAACAGCAGGCAGCAGCAATTGCAGACTGCTGAGTGCACAGTGGCTGACCCAACGCTTTAGAGACTGCACAAGAGAAAGCTAGCCAAAATAGCATCCGGGATTCCCATGCGGTAAAAACTGACCCAAGAATATGCCGCCTCTGTATTTTGCAGCCAGATGTAAGAGGAAAGCATGGAAGAGAGACACAGAGCTTTAGGTGCAGGGTGCAGGGTGAGGAAGGGGGGGAAAGGTTGCATGCACTTTCCTATCAGTTGACTCCAGAGAAATCCTTACTGAGTCAAATGCCCATGACAAGTGTCAATCCAGGAAGAGAAAAGAGGAGAGCAAAGAGGTTACTGGAGGCCATTGAAAGAGAAAAAGCCCACTGGGACTGCAAGCTTTCATTAGTCATACACTCAACCTCAATGTGTCTCTCTAAGTCTTTCTCTCTGACCCTCAGGATTCTTCCCAGGTCACACCTACTCACCCCCATCCCATGCCAGATGCTCACTCCCTAGGCTTCACTAGCCCTGCGCACACACACACCAAACATATTGAATTTTGGTGCCTCTAGCCTCCTGTCCTGCATACAACTCTGATTTTGGTCTGGCTGGAATGCTGTACAAATGCAAACGTTAATTCCATTGTTCTGCCTTTTTTTTACTCTGGCCCCACCCACTGGAATGCAGTCTTCAGAAGGTCACCCATGAGACAATGAATTCCTTGGGCTGAAAAGGGTTCCCCATTCCTGCTTTTACTGCTGCAGCTGGTCCTAGCATTACTCACTCTAGTGCCCCAGACCCTGAACTTGCCCTTGTGCTTCTGGCTCGCCCTGCCAGCAGACCTGAGCTCGTATGAAGACCCTGAGCACCAGCCAGCCACCTTCTGAGTGAAGCTCTCTAGTCAGCTTCAAGTTTTGTCTACTGCACATTTATGAATAAACAGGAGCACAGGAGTGGGCAATGTCCTGCTGGAAACTGGTGTTCAGCCCCGTAGGCCAGATTTTTATTCAAATAAAAGTGGCCAGTTGTTAACACATTCTTTTTGTTAAAAGAAGAAGAGTGCATTAATGTGCAGCTTGGCCTTGTGAGTGACACAGCCCCCAATAAAGCACCTGTTCCAAGGCTAGACTGAAGGACATAAGGGAGCTTATGCAGCGGCAGGTGTGGTTCCAGCTGCCTGCCAAGCATAGAAGTCCCATCATGGGCAGCAACAATGAGCCAGAGCTGAGAGGCAGGACCAGACAAAGATTCGCCTGAGCATCACTCTGATTATCAGCATGGCAGAAGCAATGAGGATGAGATGGGGGAAGGGAGATTCTACAAGCAACTGGCCGCACTAGGCAGTGGTCCCTGAGCTCACCACCTGGAAGAGGATAAAAGCTTCTCAATTTTGGGAAGGTTGCCAGCTCTAGTTGAAAGAAAGCAGGGGGGAATAACTCTACTCACACTTTAAAAAATCAGCCTTTCCCCAGCCTGGTAGTCTCCAGATATTTTGGATTACAAGTCCCGCTGGGCTGAAGACAGTTGTGGTTCAAAACATCTGGAGGGCACCCAGTTAAGGAAGGCACTATCCTGTGACTTCTCACCATTTCAAATTACTCCAATGGGGATTTACCCAAGACAGGGTCTTTTAATGGTAGCACCAGAACATGGGGTGTTTCTGCTGGAGAAAGTTCATTCTATCCTTTTCCTGCTGGCATTCTGATACCAAACAAGGGCTGCATTTTTCTAGATAGCTTTTTGAGCTCTCTAAGTTTCAGAGGAAACTTTGTTTTGCTGCTGTGTGGAGTTTTCTTGCCAGTTTCTTGGCTTTACTCATTGGCTGGTGAACTTAGTTGGCTCATGTACAGTGGTACCTCAGGTTACATACGCTTCAGGTTACATACGCTTCAGGTTACAGACTCCGTTAACCCAGAAATAGTACCTCAGGTTAAGAACTTTGCTTCAGAATGAGAACAGAAATCGTGCGGCGGCGGCAGGAAGCCCCATTAGCTAAAGTGGTGCTTCAGGTTAAGAACAGTTTCAGGTAAGTACGGACCTCCAGAACGAA